GAACATATTACTAATTTCTGAGTCTCAGCTCCTGCCTTCCTAATGCTGGTTATTTTTGCCCATAAAAGCATTAATCCTATCTTCCTGTAAAAAACGACATTTTGAACATTCATCATCTTCCACTGCTGTCCTTCTGCTCCTCTGCCTCCCCATCATTAACCAGAGGCATCTGTTACATGGTTTATGCAGTGTAATTTGTGACCACAGATCTGCAATACAATGAGAGCTATTTTCTCTGTAAGGAGCTGCTCAGAGCTGCAAATATTTTTTATCCATTATATAAAAAAATAGATAAAAATTCAGATTCCAGAAGTGTGTTTATTATGCAAGTGCCTTGTCATTACCTGAGAGAGTTATACAACCTTCCATTATAGTGAGAACTAATGTCCTACCCACAGAAGTACATGAAACACAGACATGGTTTCTATTTTGGAAACTACACGTTGAGGATTATATTGTCACACTTCATAACTTCTTCCTAAATTGCTGTTTGTTAGTTTGGTTTTTTTTTTTGTTTAATCTCTAAATCCTATCCACAGGGATGGTCCAAACTCCCCTGTGTACAATTCCTGCATGGGCAGATGGAAATCAAAAAACAAATGCTGCGGAACCAGGCACCTTCTCACAAGCTACAACCCTGTAATGTGGAATTGCCATGAACAGGTGGGTGCAAAGAACACCCCAATGGCTCAGCTAAAGAAAGGCAGACCTGGACAAAAATTAATTTAGGTAAAAATAAAAAATAAAAAATAGCACCTAGCATACACACAAGCCACCACAGAGAGTAAATTCAGGTGTAATATGGAACTGCAGGTTGATGAAGACAAAGGTGCAAAGCCAAGTTAGCAAACATGGAAAAATTACATCAAGTGGACCCTAAAATGGAGAAAGAATAAATCACCAACTCCATACATTTTAAATGCACAAAGCAAACTACTGCATGCCCCAGTGGGGTAAAAATAAAGGCTTAAATTTGCTCTAGATCTGCTCTAGATGTCCTGCTGTTACCTACTGTGGAGAGCAGGAGTTATTCCCCTTGGGATGGGGAGGACAGGCAGCACTAAGGCATCAGGAAATAGCTGGGAAGTCTGAGGCCATTTTCCTCTTGGCTCATTCTTGTTAAAGTAAGAATTCTCACAGAACTGAGAGAATAAACACTCTTGAGAACTGGGAGAAGAGGCCACCACCACCAGAAGCAGAGGGGTTTGATCTCCTTGGAGCTGCACAGCGAAGCCCACCTGCTCTAAAATGCAGGAGAACCATAAACTATACTAAACTAAAGGACCATAAACTGTTCACCAGGTTTGAACCCACCTCAACCTACTGCACTTCTCCTAGTAATGCATCATGAAAGAGGGAGCAGGGGAAGATCAGGTATTTTTATTTATTCCCTGAAAATTCAAGTTATCCACCTGGTCTTTGTGCTCCTCTGATGCTCTCCAAGTGTTCAGTGTTTGCCCACCACACACCACCTACACACAAATCAAGAAATGAGTACAGAGACACCAAAGCCACCTCACAGAGAATGCAGAGAGGTCCAAATGTGCTGCTCTGTCCTTCACTGGCAACCAGTGACACCAAACCAGGTCCCAAATCACATTCAGACCTTGCTCCCCCAGAGCTGCAGGGTGCCAGGATGGCTTTTGGAGAGTCAAATTCTGTTTTATAAATGCACAGATTTTCTCATTTTCTGCTTTACTCTTTGTCTTCATATTGCTGGTTAGAGAGCCAGTTGATGGGCTGTGAAACTGTCAGTCTCATTACTGGCACTAATAAATGGCTTTTGCTCAGCTGGAGTTAATGTGGGACCATCTGACTGCCCAGAACTGACATTTTTAATGATTTTGTTCCTCCAGTGCTTTCTCATTGACCACTACAAAAATCCAAACTGTCTCTCTCTGCCAAGCTGTTTTGTGGATCAAGTTCCTCGTTCTCCAGGGATCTGCACTTGTGTCAGCCATCAGAGCAAGCAGGCTGGATAATAACTGGCCTGAGAACAGCTACTCCAACACTTCTGGGCTCCTCTGCACTACAGATTTTAGCATTAAATGTCAAATTTCTGAAGGCTAGAGGACAGAAGCATCCCCAGGAGGAAGACACGTGTGCAAAGTGTTTTAAAAATGGAAAATGCCAGCTGTAAAAGTTTGGTGCTTGGATGTTGTCCCCTCACCCTGTTCTCTGCTGGGTGCTGCCACCTTCCTTCAGGTCTCCCTTTCCAGTGCTGTATCCCAGGTGAAACAGAACAACTTCCCCTTCCAAACCCTGCTTAATTTACACAATAAGGGAAATTCTTCACATCCCAGTGCTATCTAGGGAAGGAAGAGACACACTGAGCTCTTCTGGGGATGTCCAGCAGTTACAAAGCAGTCCCCAAATTAAAAGAACTGGATCTTCAAAGATGAATCTTCAAAGATGAAAGTCACCTGGAGAAAAAGGGTTTCAAAGAAAAAATAACCCAGCAGACCTAAAGCTTAATAAGTCTTTTCCAGAGAGTCTGGTGTCTCCAGTTGCTCCAGCAGAACAATGGAGCAGCTCCTCCAGCTTCCTGACAGGTTTTGGGGGGGGATTTCTTCTGTTCTTAACCACCCACTTTGTGCTTTTCCCCACCTTTCCTGTTCTGCCAAACCCCTCCATCAAGAAACCCACAGCCAGGAGCAGGTATGGACACAGAGGCAGCCTGATGTGTGCCATGAGTCCAGAGCTGGGAACCAGGGCAGAAATCCTCACCTGGCACAAGCTGGAGAGGGGAAGGGCTACACCCCTGCAGAAGCAGCTGCCATTGCTCCCTCACTCCCAGGAAATCAGCTCTCACCCCCTGGCTTCAGCTCCTTCCATGGATTTAGGTTATCAGTGTGAGCTCATGCAAGTCCTTGGTTTTCACAGAATCACAGAATCATGCATGGCTTGGCTTGGAAGGGATCTTAAAGATCATTCAGCTCCAATCTCCTCATCTAGCTCCATTTTCTTTGTGCCTATGAAACATAAATAATTTCCCTTTCTCTTAGGAGCACTGCTGAGCAGCAGCACACTGCAGGTGGGGCAGGAGCAGTGGCACAGAGCCACTGAGGTCACCTGGACAGGAAAAGAATTAAAAGGCTTTTTACACAAGTGTCTGCCTGCTGGAGTCAGAGGGGTGAGCCACCAGCAGAGAGGCTGATCCCACTGTGTCCCCTCTCTTTTTGCCAGCACAGCCCTGCACAAAAGCCCCACCTAACTCCTAAAAATGAACTCAGCTCAGCCACAGCCTCATCCTCTCCCTCATGGGTGTTGTACTGGCTGCAGCAGCCTAAAAACAAAAGGCAATCCCAGCCACTTGGATCTGGTGACTTGCAGGGAAGACCAAAATCCTCATCTGCCCAGTGCTCCAGGGGCTCAGAGCCATCACTGTGATGCTGACCCAGCTCACACTGCACAGGGCTCCTCCAGTGTGCATGGAAGTCAATAAAACATAAGCTGGGGGGAGAATCCTGCCTTGTACCATCTAGTCTGTTTATTCCTTGTCCCAAACTTCTGCAAAGAAGCCCTTTCAGGGCTCAGAGGAACAGCACCAGCCCCTGGTCACTGCTTTCTCCCCTGCCTGCTGTACCAGACCTGCAGCTCCTGCCCTGAGCCTCTTCCTCCAGCAGCTGGAAATGCAGCTGTGACTCCAGTCCAGACACAAACCATGAGCTGTGTCTGGCACAGAACCTCCTCTGTCACCCCACAGCTGATGGCAAACATTGTCACATACAACAGCACCACACACACACCTCTTTCACCCAGCTTGCCAAAGACAACCAGAAACCCTTAAGGACACAAATTATTCCCCTCACACAACTCCTGGGGAGACAGCAGGACATGTGAGACAGCCCTGACACAGCCAGCACCCAACAGAGTGCTTTTCAAGCAGGATTTAGTGTGACAGGAGGGATCAGTCCTGCTGCAAACTCAATCTCTCCTTCAAAGGCCAACCCTCCCACAGAGGTCTGGAAATCAAACCTCCCACACAGTTCTTGAAAGACAATCTTTGATTCAATTAAGGAAGCCAAGATCACTAAAGCAGGCTGGAAACAGCATCACAGAGGTAAAATCAGAATTATGCTTTCAGGGGAAGTGATAGAAATCACATGGGTGTATATGATGGACAATATATAAAAGACTTGGATTCTTTTTTTATTTGATGGGCTTCTAAGAGCAGCTAACTCCAATAGTCACACACAAAGACCTTCTGTCTAGATGTGGTTCAGCTCCCACAAATTCACCTGAAATGTCCCCACTGTGTTTGACAGGGCTTGGCTTGGGAATTGAGTATGCTGGGAAATTATTCCAGAGCTTTTGCCAGGCTGGACAAGCTCCTTTCTCAGATCTCCTTTGTCCCACAGCAGCTCTGGCCTGCATCACAAGGACTTCACACATACAAACACTGACTCCCAGGTGGAATAAGGACAGTCATTAAACACAGGGCCTCCATGTACAGCAGGAATAAATTTTGTAAAGCTTTACAGAGGCTTTGCAGGTTTGTCTTCACACTGCCAGCACAGCTTCCCAAGGCTGGATCATAAATGGACCTCTTAAAATGTCAGAAAAGTGAAACTCAGACAAATGTTCTGAAGTAGCAAAGAGGATGATGAGCAAATACCCAACTCCTTTGTCCCCAAAGGACAAATATCCCTGCACCAACCCATCTTGGGCAAAGGGAACTGAAATTTGCCCAGGAATCTCACCTGAGAAGATTTTTGGGGTTTTTTTGTCCAACCTTGGAGCAAGACAACACTAAACTCTGGGAATCAACGAGCAGCATTGGAATATCCATATTTTCCCCAAAATGACAAGTCAGGTCACGCTGCCTGGGACACATCCCAGTGTCACCAGTTGTCACTGAACTGGGATTCCTCAGGAATGAACCTGCTCTGTGTTTAGCCTGAGAGCCAACCCATGGCTGGCACGAGGGAATGCCTGGCACAGAGTGAAGAGCAGGAGAGGTGAAGGGGAGAGGAAGAAGGAAGGGGCTTTTCTCTTACCCAGACCCTGGTTCTGCTGCTCCCACTCAATGGTGTCAGGAACCTGGTAGGACACCCCAGCCAGCTGGGCCACAGGGTTTTCCAGGCCAGCCAGGGGCTCCTGGGAGGTCTCTCCTGGCAGAGTGAAGCCAGGCAGATCCGTGTCACCCTCCATGCTTTCATCCATCAGGTCCAGGTCTTTGTCCTCCTCGTCTTCCTCTTCCTCCTCTTCTTCTTCCTCCTCCTCCTCTTCATCCTCTTCCTCTTCCTCACCCTCTGGCCAGAGAGACAGAAAAGAAATGTCAGGGAACATATTTAACTAGACCTCAACACAGGAGAGTCAGCAGACACACTACAGTGGTAGCAGCTGGTACTATACATTCTCCTCATGGTTAAGAGTTTATGCAATTGCAGTTCAAATTGAAGTTGTAATTCACGTGTTGGAAACACAGGAGATGATTTCACATCTTAACATGGGGAAACTTTAGCCCCACAGCATCTCCCTGTAATTCAGCACCACAACGTGCACGAGACCAAACCCAGAAATAATTTTTACCCTGGAGAAACAGAATCTTGAAACAGAATTGTTTTGATTCCTTGACATTGATGTTCAAAGCTTTAAATGAAATCTTGTGCCTGATCATTTTATTTCTGAGCTGAACAACAGTTCCTTTGGGAGTGGGAAGCAGAAGGTTCACAGATCTCTCAGGTGAGCACCAGGCTGAGCTCCTCCAGAGCAGAGCAGCTGCAGGAACCTGTCCCTGTTCTCTGGCAGGAAAACACCCACAGAGCTTCACCTGGAGGAGCTCATCACCAGTGGAACTTGCTGGGGAACAAGGAGATGTCGTCTCAGACTCTCAAATTAGTGGGAAATGCAGTAACTTTTTGCTTCCTAGCAGCAGGGTGCAAACAAGGCTGTGCACGTGTACAACACCTGGATTTCTGTAACTACAGAGCTCCCTGCTTAACCCATCACAGCTCCAGGGAGAGCTCTTCCCCTGATCTCCAGTCTTGGAGGCAGCAATGAGTTGGTTCTATGTTTAACTCTAACTGAGTCTTTCCCACTGCTTTCAGGACCAGGTTGCTCCAAGCCTGATCCCACCTGGCTTTGGGAAGAGTTGGAAATAAGGCAGCATAGCCAACACTTCACAGGAGAGCTGATCAATGAGACTTTGATGAAATTCCTGTGATTTCAGTGCAAGGTCTCCCTGCCCATGGAAGGGGGGATTGAAACAAGATGATCTTTAAGGTCCCTTTCAACCAAAACCATTCTGTGATTCCATGAATTCTCTGCTACAGCAGATACCCATTTATTCACAAACTGTTAACACAGGAAAAAAATAAATATTTAGGCCATATTTCATCACTAGGATCTAAAATGGCAACACAGGAACCACTGTACTGGATCAAACCAAAGGGGTTTTTCCTAGTTTTTCCTATTTCCAGCCACAACTGGCTGCAGATGCTGAAGGAAGTCTAGAGCAGGGCAAATACAGAGCCAGCCTTCCCACAGTATTTTTTTTTCCCCAAGTCATAGTTATTAAAGTCTCAGGGACATCCTATGCCAGCATTTGCATTGGAGCTATTTAATAGCTGCTGATGGAGCCACCCACCAGGGAAAGATAATATCTGGAACAATGGCATGCTTTGAATTTCTCACAGTTCCTTTTTCAAGGCTGAGAATTGAAACACAGTATTTATGCACTTTTATCTAATTTACACCAACTCTGCTCAGCCCTGTAGAAAAATTCCCTCCTGGTGTAGTCACCCTGCATCCAGGCATTGAAAACTAACAAACCACCCTTTGTTAACCAAATCCTTTATTTGTTATATTTGTTACCCAAATATTTCTGCTGTAGCTGTACCTCCTATAGGTTGGTGGCAATCCAGCCTGGATTAAATGGCTCCCAAAATTTGGGATATCACATGAGATGGGAATATGAGAAATCAGTGCCTGTTACAAACCCACTGATGCACTGTGCTGTGCCATGGCATCTCCCTGCCCTGGAATTCAAGGATTTGCTCCCAACCACTGCATGTTTTCCTCAGCTCACCAGACAAGACAATCCCAGTGCTGCCTTTCAGTCCTGCTCCTGCATTCCATACAAATGAGCTGCTGCTGGGATTTAGCTGCATCACCCTGCTAGAGCCTGACTTTTGGTGCCTGGAAAGATCATTCCTACCACACAGAGCATCTAATGGAGCTCCCAGGGATGCAGCTAGCCCCTTAAATCCCCACTGCACTTTAGAGGCAGTTTCTGTATTATAATGTGCCCAGCATTCAGAATCAAATCAGAATTTTCTCTGTCAAAATGCATGTTTTCATACAAAACACACAGCTGTGAAGCTGAGAGTGGCACCTGGAGAGTGCTCACTGCAAAGACAAGTGAATGTAGGTCTTTTCCCTCTGCTGAGAGCAACACAGCTATCAACAATCCCAAAACTCACCAGCAGACACTCTGAACAGCCAGAAAACCAGAGAAAAGGAACATGAACAGAGCTTTGCCCTAGACTGGGTGGGAAAAGCAGCCAGGAAAGAACAGGCATTGGATTTTCATCTCTGAAAAACTGCTCTGGGACAAGGGTTTTAGAATAGCCAACCTAAATCTTCCCTGGTGGAACTTAAGGTTGTTTTCTCTTGTCTAATTTCAAAGATTTCCACCTAAAACAAAAACAAACTGTATCTCAGCAGCATTCACCCCAAAATTGCTCTCACACTGAGCCAGGCTAGAGACTCAGTTTAGCAGCACAAAACTATTTTAAAGGAGAAAAAAAACACCCAAAATGCTGCACAATCCCAAAACTCACCAGCAGACACTCTGAACAACCAGAACACTAAAGAGGAACATGAACAGAGCTTTGCCCTAGAGTGGGTGGGAAAAGCAGCCAAGAGAGAACAGGCATTGGATTTTTATCTGTGAAAAACTGCTCTGGGACAAGGGTTTGAGAATACCCAACCTAAATTTTCCTTGATGGAACTTAAGGTTGTTTTCTCTTATCCAATTTCAAGGATTTTCTTCCAAAACAAAAACAATCTCCAGCAGCATTCACCTCAAAATTGCTCTCACACTGAGCCAGGCTAGAGACTCAGTTTAGCAACACAGGACTATCTTAAAGGGGAAAAAACCACCCAAAATGCTGCACAATCCCAAAACTCACCAGCAGACACTCTGAACAACCAGACCACCAAAGAGGATCGTGAACAGAGCTTTTCCCTAGACTGGGTGGGAAAAGCAGCCAGGAGAGAACAGGCATTGGATTTTCATCTCTGAAAAACTGCTCTAGGACAAGGGTTTTAGAATACCCAATCTAAATCTTCCCTGGTGGAACTTAAGGTTGTTTTCTCTTGTCTAATTTCAAAGATTTCCACCTAAAACAAAAACAAACTCTATCTCAGCAGCATTCACCCCAAAATTGCTCTCACACTGAGCCAGGCTAGAGACTCAGTTTAGCAACACAGGACTATTTTAAAGGGAAAAAAAACACCCAAAATTCTGCACAATCCCAAAACTCACCAGCAGACACTCTGAACAACCAGAACACCAAAGAGGAACATGAACAGAGCTTTGCCCTAGACTGGGTGGGAAAAGCAGCCAAGAGAGAACAGGCTGCTTTTTTTAAAAACAGATTTTTATCTCTGAGAAACTGCTCTGGGACAAGGGTTTGAGAAGCTTCTTGTGATTTTTAGCAATCCAAGTGACACACACCTGCCAGGATGGAGTGCTGAAGCCACAGATAGCCATCTCCCTGTCTCCAAAGCCTGCTGGCAGCCAAGCTGAACACCCAAATTGAAAGTTCTGAGACCACTTATCACATCTGATGATCACCAAGCTTCATCAGTCAGCAGGCAGGCACAGCAGAGAGCTGTGAATAATGAGATCCTTGCAGCACAGCCCCTGCAAAGGGGGAAGGAAAAGGCTCTGAGCTTGTTCCCTTCTCCTCTCTGCCTCATTCCTGCATCTGAAATCAGCTTTTTAAGCCCCATCCTGAAATGCCAACAGCTTGCCTTGCTGCAAGGTGCAGTGCAGAGCACCACTTGGTGGTCACAAGGAGGAAGCTGCACTTCCAAAAAAAAAATAAAACCCCACAACTTCCCAAAATTGGGATTTCAGCAGAGGAGGCACAACTGTGCAGAAGGCTGGGCACTCCCATAAGGTGGGAAATGGAGATGAGCAGCACACAGCCAAAGCTCAGGCTGGAGGTTTGTGCCTCACACTTCTACAAAAGTCACATTTTCCCTCCTAAACTGGCACCTTTTGGCCTTCAAAGGGCCTCAGCAGCAGATTGAAAGAAAACTGTTGGGAAAGACTGAATGCAGCAAGGAGGGAAAGTGCAAAGCCCAGCAGATGCAGAAGGAATCCAGAGTTTCATGTGCATTTGCAGCTCAGTGTGAACTATTTTTGTGTGGCATGGAATGGTTTAGGTTTGAAAAGCCCTCTGAGATTAGAGTCCAACTGTTAATCCTGTACTAAGCCCCAAGTGCCACATCCACACATCTTTTAAACCTCTCCAGGGATGGGGACTGGGCAGCCTGGCACAATGCCTGACCATCCTTTTATTAAGGACATTTTCCCTAATATCCAACCTAAACCTCCCCTGGTGCAGCCTGAGGCTGTTTCTCCTTGTCCTGTCATTTGTGGCCTGGGGAAGCTGTAGGGGAGCCCCAAGGAAAGAAGTCTGAGATAAAATAACACATTTTAAGCAGAGTTTGTGGAGGATTTCCAGCTTTATTTATAGAAACAGCCACCACTGGGCTTTATCAAGGGACTCTGAATGGATCCAGTAGTGACACAGGTGAGATCCAGAGGATGGGATTTGCTTTTTCACCACAAAACTACACATCCACAATGATTTCTGTGGCTTAGGCAGAGCTGAGACCCCCCTCACTCCTCCCTTGTGAGGCATTTCCCTGACCCAGCAGGAACCCACAGTTTGTGGAATCTGAAGCAAAGCAGCAGCATCCAGCAGGTAAAAGCCTCAAAAATCAATTTTTGGGGTTGTGATGGCTTGGAAGAAGCTGGAGCTGAAGCCACTTGTGCTCATAACCTTGCTGAAGGCAATGGAGCTCCAGCAGGTTTTCAGCTGAAGAAACCTTCACTGAAGAATGATGTTTCTATATTTAGGTATTTTCCATTAATGTTTGCAAACACTTGGATTGCTCAGGAGAGCCAGGAAAGCATCATTCTGTCAGGCTGAACACACAGCAGCAGAAAGATTCTTGCTGTGCCCTGGGCAGCCAGAGGCTCCCAGTGGAAGGTGACAGATTCACTCAGAGG